ACAGGATCCACGTCAATATTCCTAGGGCCTTTGGTACTTTTTAAATAAAAATTGTGACCTCAACTGAAAAAGTAGAATTGCTACCTTAAAAAGATTACATTTAAAACCCAGACCCAATTTAAGAGAGTCATTTATGTTCACTTGTGCTTAAGATGTTTTTACATGCCATAACTCTTAACGTACAAAAGACAATCCCACATCCCACTCATCAAAAACACATAACCTTGTATAAAAGCTCATAATAAGACCATTTTTTACTCCAATCCTTGTCTTTGACATGCATGTTGTTGTAGCACCTTATGATCAAGAGAGAGTTTTCCGTCAGGAAGCTATTAGTTTCCTTTAACCCACGTATTAGAAGAGCCAGTAAATTAGAAACAAGCTCTTGATTTATGTGTCTGCTTGTTCAATCAAGTTTACATCCTTGATTGCCTTTTTTTAAAGTAATCCTATTCATTTAATATAGATCAATGGTTGAACAGAATATTACCAAATAATACGGTTGATGTGAATTTGCAATAGTGCTCGGTATTATTATACAAGCAATGGATGTTGAATCGACAAACATCAACAACAAGTTTTATTTTGCACAATGACACATTTAGATTTAGTTACTTAAACAAGCACTTGAGCTTGTTTTGCATATGAAAAACATTATCCTTATTTCCTATAAGGAAAGAAATATCAATTTCTCTGGGTAAGTGATCGTAACCATTCTTCAAGTAAGTTAATACTGGAATAAAAGCATTCACAGCATAGAAAAAGTAGGCATGGTTTACACATTGTCTTGGATACAGAGCATGCCTACCCTATAAAAACAGACAGAAGGTTAAAAGAAGTATGTATTTTCATTTACCTTCATAATGAACTAATAATGACAGCCCATATACAGAAGTGATCTCATCATGTTAAAAAAAAGACCATAAAGTTCACAGCAATATGCACAAGATGTCATAAATCACATAATCAATGTTTTAAAAGGTAAGTCACAATAACTAACGAAACACAATGCTGTCAAGAATCCAGGTCCTACCTGAATCCAGTTTTCCTATGTTCTCGGTGACTGAGCCGCATCAGATCCAGCAGAAGAACTATCACTGTCAGAATCTGCAACATGCCACTTGGTTTAAGTTAAATTGACCCAACTCTCAAGAATTAATAGCTCTAGTAATGAAACTAACTTGCTACCTACCAAACCAAATAAGAAACCTAAAATGAACTCCAAATTATAGAAGAATAAATAAATTAAGGGTGACCAAGAAGGAAACCAGCCCTCATGTCATAGGCATATGGCTTCAATTTAAGTTGGGGTGAAATTTCTACACATATATCTATATAGCATATCTAAAAAGGAATGTATCTAGATAGTATATTACCACTAGAGGAAGATCCAGTCTCATTACCCGAGCTGCTCGAACTACTTGACCTACTTGCATTATCTCCCTTCTTTTCACCTGCTTGTAGTGGAGAGGAAGCCGCGTGCTTTTCATCAACCACTGTTTTCACAAATTAAATTTAACCACACATTCCATGATATGGGTTAACAACAAATAGCAAGATATTAGGAAAAAGTAGAACAATATCAGGCAAGTGAAATTAAGTTACCTGTCCTGCTCTCTGTTGGCACTTCTGCAACTACAGCATCAGAATTCTGCTCAAATGAGGAAAATGTAAATCTAAGTAACTGTACAAAAAGAAGACCTCTTATAAAATATCATTCAATTGTCATACCCTTTCCTGTACCATTTCTTGCCCTTCATGTTGCTGATTGTCCGACCTTTACTGAAGTGCAAGCTCACCAAGCTTTGGCTTCCTCTTGTTCTTGCTTAGACTCTTCTTATAATTGGTAACAAACCTATCCAGCTCCCAAAGAGTCTCAGTATCAACACTATCTATATCTACCACAATCTCATCATCATGCTGACTCAGTGATGAGTTCCTCTTCTTGATAATCTGCACCACATTATCCAGTTTCTCTAGAGGAAGATTTTGCAAATTATTGCTCAGCTTTTGCTTCTCTTCAAACGTCATATTTACATATTTGTGGATGACAGAATACTGAACTTTGGGTTCTAAGAAAGGATAGGACTTCGATATGCTACATTGTCAGGCTTAAGAGGTAGAGCTGAAGCAAATATCTTATTAGGTTCAAACTTCAAAGTTAGTGGGCTACCAAATATGAACCAAGCTTGATCCATTTAAGAAAACATAAAGCTCAGAATACTTTTTTTGCCTTTAAGATGTTTCAACAGTACAATAAAAAAATCTGTGCTCATCTGAATAGCAGCATTCCAACCCCCCCCCCTCCCTAACCTAACCTTCATCATTAATCTACAGCTTTCCATGTTTGGTTCTTGATTCTAAATCAAGCTAATTAAATGCGGTCTCTTTACAGAGATATGCGATAGAGCTAGGGATATCTGTGCCAAGAGCTTAGTAAGGCAAATATATCACTTGATAGAAATCATTAACCTAACCTTCATCATTAATCTACAGCTTTCCATGTTTGGTTCTTGATTCTAAATCAAGCTAATTAAATGCGGTCTCTTTATAGAGATATGCGATAGAGCTAGGGATATCTGTGCCAAGAGCTTAGTAAGGCAAATATATCACTTGATAGAAATCATAGCAACGATAATATAGCTGACCCTGGAATTTGTGGGATAAGGCATAATGCTAGATCAGTTACCATTATGCTCCTTCTGCATGTACATAGGGCATGCTAAATTGCATATTTAAATCTCTATTCATTTTTAGCCCGCTTATCTCTTGATTGAACTTTATTATCTGATGAAAGCTTTTGGCGACCTCTCTTATTCCAAAAATTACAGCTCGATACTTTAGCCTCTAGCAACGTTCACAGTATACAAGTGCAGTATTCATAAAGGTAAATTAATATATGCATTTCTCGATTGACTTGCAGGTCCCATCTGATATTTCCTCCCAAGAGAAACAAGATGAGCCTGAGGTACCTTGTATAATTTCATTTCATGTCAGATTAATTTCTCCGCATGTTTGAATGTCTGTTTCAAGTCTTTAAAATCAGCCATCATTCTGTATGTTTCAGTTTACATACAACAAATTGATAGTATTATCTCTTTGCATGTCTTATCTTTGAACCCCTCGTTGAGGACATTTCTTTAAATGTAATGCCAAACAAACTTTTAAGTTTAAATTTTTTAAGTAGCCCCACATATAAATTATCTAATATATGAAGGCACCTCATGATTGTTTACAGCATTTGAAAAGATTGTATAGTATGTTTCTTATAATAATGTCCAGTCTTCTGCATTTAGAGTAGTTTAGTGTGCAATGCAGTGAGGTTGTTGAAAATTGATCACTAAAATATGTATAATGTTTAGTACGATTGGACAATCATGTTTAGTATGACTGCTGTTATATCCTACATTCCTATCTTCAGTTATGTTTAAATATTCTTGAACAGCGAAACTTTCTGTGAATTGGATGAGAAAATAGCTTAAATTTTACACCTTTTATTTTCTGTTGGACATTCTTCTGGTAACTAACTAATGTTAAGCATTCCCTTTTCCGTGGACTACCCTGCAGCCAAGGAGAATTGAGAGAAAAGCAAACCCAAAGCCTCAAAATACCATAATGTGTTTTTCTTAGGGGAAAAAAATATATTTTTAAAAAATCCCTACATGTAATAAAAAATGTAGTCAAATTATTGCTAAGAGGACTACTGAACAGGTTTTCTCAAGTAATGGTTATTGGTTAAAGGGGCTCCTGTATTTCTGTCTGGAGTAGCTATTGCATTATTAAGAAGTCATGATATAAATATATTTAATAGAATTGATATAGCAATTAATTCATATCTTCAATCTATTGGTTACACAATTGATATTAGATTGATCAAAACAGAATTGATATAGCAATTAATTCATAATTTCCAGTCATCTAAGGGAAATCATTTGCACGTATCAACTAAATAAATAGAATCTATGGACCCTAGAGTTTTCCCTGAGCTCAATGACCTAGCTTACAAACTGGCATTCAATCACAGCCACAGTACACCTAATTTATCCTACAGCTAAGTTCCAATATACAGACAAAATAGCTCCCATTTTTAGGGTGCTATCAACAATTTCATCGGAAGAAAAAAAGTAAAAAAAATTAAAATTAAAATTGAGGAAAGGTATACCTGGCCTCTGGTGAGATTAGTGGTGACCTTAACCGGATTCAAGCGATTTTGCGCGGGAAAAGAAGACGAACGCTTCTTCTGAACCAAATCAGAATCATATTAAAAAATTAAAAAAATCACATGCGAAATCACAACCTGAAAAATAAAAGAATTCAAGTAAACTAAACTTACTTTATAGTCGCAATATAGGTGTTGTTCGTATATTTAAACGCTTGTCGCTTGAATCTGTAGAAAATCGAGAATTTGGGCAAAATTATTAGAACAAAATGAGAAGATTGAAAAACTAAAAGGGGATACGGTGAATTGAGCATAACTAAAGCTTAGATCTAGGGTTTAGTATAGAGGAGTGAAGACGAAGAAGAATGAATCCGCCGTTCATTAAAACTTAGGATCAGATATACCAACTCAATCAAGCTAGCGTATTCCTCTCCCGAATCCCAAATTAAAGTAGTTAATTTCCCAATTCGAACCAAAAAAAAAAACTGTAAATTCAATTCAAAGGTTGAGAAATAAGAAATTGCCTGACCTCAGCGGACGGCGAGGACTTGTTTGCCGCCGAGCAGTGAAAAGTTCGAGAAGAAAAGTCGGCTTCTTTCTTCGATTTTGGGGAGGGAGCTGGTATTTTGTGAGATTTAAGGGATCAAGTAGGCGTATCAAAATGACAATCTAAACCATGAGATTTAAGGGAATTCGGTTCCCGTCCATCTAATTGCTCAAGGTCAAGGAGAAGACCCAATTAATTACTTGAAATTAAGATGATCATCCATCCACTTGTGAAAGATTCCTGGTAGTGGTGGTCGTTCGTGTTCAGCATTAATTTCCACCTCACTATATGGCCTAATTACGTACCTGTCCTCCCGAGTAACATAAACCAATGGAATCCGTCTATATTATCAAATACGCATGGGTTGGGTTCAGCAACGAAACATAATGGTTTGCAATAAAATCAATTGAATCAAACAATGAGTTACACAACATGAGCAGAGCCTCCAGCTTCACAGATCAATACGACCCGGCCTCCTGCAAGTTGACTGGCCAGCTTAGGCTGAGCCTCCCGATACTCTTCTTCCACGAA